GCAAGTGTCAGCCAATGGATTCTCAGACTTGCTCCCTGTTTGGCAGTTCAGCAGAAGAATGGAGGACCAGCCTGTATCAAAACATTTAAGAACAGATGAAGAGCCCTGCTGGATCAGACGAAAGGCCCATCTAGTCCAGCTTCCTGTATCTCGCAGTAGCCCCATCAAGATGCCTCTGGGAGCACATGAGACTACTAGATACCTGTCTCCTGATAACCCTTCCCTGTATCTGGCATTTTGAGGTCCCTTCCTTTTAAGCCTGGATATTATACATCTCCATGATGACGTGCTTGTATTCAGAATTTAAGTTCTGATCTGTCACTTTATACATCCCCATGATGGCTTGTAACCTGTTTGTATTCAGAATTTAAGTCCTGATCTGTCATTGTTGGACAAGTAAAAGCTTAGAAGTCAAGGCATGAGTTTCTTAGTATTTTGCCTTTGCTCTTCACTTCTGCAGATTCTTATTTTGTAATGCTTTACAATGTTGCATAATCTTCCACAGAGATGTAACAATGAATGATTGTTGAATAATGATGAATAAACCATTCCAGGCTCCTTTGCCACACATTGGCACAGGGCAAAAGGCATATTTCTCTGGGCTGATCTTATAGTGGGGACTAACTGAACATAGGGGATCAGGCCCCTGTACCATTGTTAGACTTGATGGCTTTCAGATCCTTTTAACACCACCATTCTATGGTTCTGATTGAATCACACATATCCGCTTTCACTGCCATTATGATGTTCTATTTTGTTTTTTTAAAGCCACCTTTCTTTAAGAATGAGTGCTGTGTAAGAGTTTCCTTACATGTTCCCTCCCACCTTGGAAATCTGGAAGGTGTTTTTATGTGGATTCTATTTTGCTGATTGAAGTGTTGTTGATGAGATACTGTATTTATTTAGCTGTACAAGGAGGCTATTTAAATCCTTGCTTATAACTCTTACAGAGTCCTAATTTTGTTTGCATTGCTGTTCATTTTTTCTTCTAACATAAGGATGCAGATATCTTTGTGAAGGAGAATACTGCATTTTCTTAGTGATCAAATAGCAGTATGTTGTTGCTGAGAAAATGCGATTTTTGTTTCCAAGTGATCACATCCATTATGTGTGGAAGCATTGCATGGGACTATTACATAAGTAATAGGATTCTGGTCATTACTTAATCAGTTTAATTACAGACTGGATGCTTGCCCCTTACAAAATGGCATATGTTGGGTAGGTGATATCTTTATTAAGTTAACCAAATGGGGACAAAAATTGCGGAAAAGCACACAAAAAAGTGGAAGGTTTTGAGAGAACACTCTCTTCACCAGGCAAAATGTAAAAAATAAGTGAGGCAGGAGAAAGGAAAGGGGGAAATTTGGGGGGAATCTGTCCCTTAAGTCCTTGTCTCCTTGTTGTTAGAAAAGCAATTTAGAAGAGAGGAGAAAGGAAAGGGGGAAATTTGGGGGGGTGGAATCTGTCCCTTAAATTCTTGTCTCCTTTTTGTTAGAAAAGTAATTCAGAAGAGATTTTATTGTTGTTTAGTCGCTAAGTCGTGGCCTTCTCTTTGTGACCCCATGGACCAGAGCACGCCAGGCCCTCCTGTCTTCCACTGCCTCCCGGAGTTGTGTCAAATTCATGTTGGTTGCTTCGCAGACACTGTCCATCCATCTTGTCCTCTGTCATCCCCTTCTCCTCTTGCTTTTCCCTGACACCCAGGATGTCAATGTTTATTCTTGCCATCTCCTCTTTGACCACATCCAGCTTCCCAAGGTTCATAGATCTTACATTCCAGGTTCCTATGCAGTATTTTTCTTTGCCACATCGGACTTTCCTTTCATTTCCAGGATGAATTACTCAAGCCCCTTCTCCATGACAAGGCAGCAATCCGTGAAGGGGGATCAGAAGAGATACTGCAAACAAAAAGAAGAGTCTCATCTGGTGATACCATGGTATCAGATTTCAGGCTGTGGTATCCCATAGACTCACTTTCAGCTGGACAGTTAGAAACCTTTGACTCCCACCTCAGACAATACCCCCCAATACTGCCACTACTTACTGTATGCTCATATGCTACTTCTAATTTTATTTGTAAATATACTTTTGCCCCATTTTTTGGGACTTCACCTTTTTCTGTGTTTAGCATGCTCCCCATCTTGAGCCCTGGAAGACATGTATCCCTTTATTAATTTTGAAATAATAAGTATGCTCCCCTTGCCTGTCCCTTTCAATATGTGGGAGTTTGGTGTTATACAGCTGTGATAACTCCGAGCTGGAAAACGGCTCAAGAAAGTTTAATGATCTAACGGCAGTCCCTGCTGTTGTGCTGATACAGAACTGTTGTTATTTCCAATCACAATAACGCTGAGAAAAGTGGAAGGCAGGAGGAAAAGGGGAAGGCCAAATACGAAATGGACTAATTCCCTAAAGGAAGCCATAGCCTTGAGTTTGCAGGAGCTGAGCAGGGCTGTTGATGATGGGACATGTTAGAGACTGCTCATTCGGAGGATCATCATAAGATGGAGGCAACCTGACAGCACGTAACAACAACAACGAAGAACTGTTTTGTTTCAGTGGAATTGACCTTTCATAAAGAAATCCTAATGTTTAGGGGGTTTTGGCCCCCAGAAGTGAGAAAGTCATTTTGTTGTGGAAGTGCTGAGTCAAATACAGAAGAGCCACTTTTACTAGTAGCTAGGTTTGCACATGATTGCAATCTTGTTAGACTGGTAGGAAAATCCTCCTACACATGCTCTTTAATGCTCTGTAATAGCGGTGGGTCCTTTTAGTAAGTCTGACAGCTTTCAAATACAGCATGAGGTAATTTACAACACTGTTTGGAATGCAGAAGTGAGCCATCATCATGAGACTGTACCCATGACCACTGAGGTTCATGTTAATTTCTCAGTTATCTACTCCCAGTGCTTACTGTTGTGGATCCAGTGCCATGTGCTGACTTTATTCATCATTTATTTATTTCTCTCCCAACTTTCTCTCCAAAAGTGCCAAAGACAACTTAATTAGCTATGTACCATCAAATCAATTCTGATTTATCATGTCCCTGTCTCCCAGAGTTTTTCTAGATACAAAGTTCTCACAGATGGTGTACATAAGTACTTCCTCCTTGAATCTGCTGCTTGCCAAGGCTGCACAGGTGGCAGGGCAGGTAACTCCATCAGCCACACCTATTGTTGCTGGTCTTGGCTAGCCTCTCTTCTGGGATTCGAACCCACAGCTCTTGTGCTCCAAACCATTGTAATTCCTGCAGCCTACAGTAACTGAATATACAGAGAATGAAAAGAAACATAAGTCACTGTAGTTTTGTTGAAACAACTAGCTACGCAATAGTTATTTCAGAGGTTGAACTGGGGTTTTCAGAATGTCTGTTCCTGTAACTGACTTCACATATGATGTGCATACAGAATAGAGATGCCCCGCCATACCCTTCCCTTCCTGTCATGCATCAGAAGTCATACCAATGTGTGTGGTTTGCATTTTTTTCTTACAAAAGGAACCTCCAGCACTACTACCATTTTACTTAAGATATGAGAGTGCTTAAATGCATTTAGTTGTCAAAGTCTCTACTTCCCTTGCTCAGCCAGTGAAGCTCACTGAGGGGGTTGGATGGCCACTAATATGTCACCAAAAAAATCACCAAAAAAAGAGGATAGCTCTTCAAAGGGAGGGCCATCTTCGCTAAAGAAAGATATACCAGCACCCTAGCTGCAGAGTGGTTTGGAAATGACTAAAGGATTTTTACAACTAAAATGGCCATCAAGTGTATCATTCAATTATAATTAAACATGTGCCAATATTTGAAAAGCACTAATTCATAACAATCACACACCAGTTTAAAACAGACCATAAAACTGAGATTCATTTTGAGACACTGTTACTAATCCACATTAACAGAACAATCCTATAGTCACATCCAGAAGGGGTGGGAGGGAAGAGATGCTTCTGCTACAGTAGCAGAACAGAGGATACAACAGCTTCCCTCAATTCATTGGCCTCATTAGCACAGCCAACAATTACCTTCTCTTGACTGCTGCTGCTGGTAGTCCGTAGCCATCTCTACAGTCAAGGGTTCAAATCCTCTTGTGATCCTCATAGCCACTGCTTAGGAGCAGGAAAAAAAATGGGAGGAAGGCGAATCCATAGGCCTAAGCATTCAAGTATGTCCCTATACAAGAGACCTGCTTTTTGGGGCAAGGACAGAGGGTTCAAAAGCCTATATTAAGAAACAGGCAAGGTGATAATCCACAAGATGAAGCAAGGGTAGTATCTCAGGCACACACCGTGTTTCACTGTGTTTAAAACACGAACAAACCAGAAGATGGGTGTTCCAGACTTGGGGGTGGGGATGGGGCAGAGATCCTCAGCTCTCCTTCTGCAATACATAGATAGTACTGGCGTACCTTATAAAATTTTCTCAGAAATATTGACATACTGGATGTGACAGACCCAGTCATGTATACAGTGTTACAAAGAGTGAACTGTATATAAGTAACCCTTCAAAGATTCAACCTCAACACAGTTTGGCATTTACAGGCATTACATAGTTACAAAATAAAAACAAAACTGATTAGTTGTGTGGAAATGATGCTGCTGAATTTCCACGACTTCACTTACACTTGTTGGCAGCTTTCTAAATTTACCAATGTAGCATGTTTCAGTCTGCATTCTCATGAATTCTTTCCTTGGAGTAAGTTCCGTTGAGCCCAATGGGCCTCACTTGCACATGCTGCATGTCACTTTACTCCACTTCCATTAATTTGGTCAATCTCCTGAAATTCAGTTTAGCTACTATCACTACTTAATGTGGTAGCAAATTTAGTTAAACTTTACATTGTGTGGATTGTAGAGAAGCTACGTCTATGTATCTGTCCTGAATCTGTCTTGCTTCTCAACAGAAGGCACTAAAAGAAAGGAAAGATAAGGGCAAGGGACTTAGAAGTTATATGTGGTGAACTCTGATGGCATTAATAAGATCCCTGTTGTCTCTCTTTCCACAGTGATGTGACATTTTTGGTTGGCAAAGAGCAGCAGGAAGTTTTTGCTCACCGGTGCCTCCTATCCTCCCGCTGCCCAGCATTCCATGCCATGCTGAGCCACCCACAGGAGAGACAAACGCCACTGATCCTGAGCCATGTGCAGCCAGAGGTGTTCCTTGCAGTAATTGAGTACCTATATACAAACAGCATCACCCTTAATAACCTCATTGTAAGTATAACTGCTCATCGTAAGGGTTGGGCTTCCAGTGATGTGGCAAGATGGAGATGGAGGACACATTAGTAAACAGCATTATGAATCTGTTTATGAGAATGATGGAATAACTGAATTGTTCCAAAGCCGATTTCCGAGTGAATTCAAAAAGCTTACCAGCTTCAGTAAAATATGAACATCCACTTTTTTCTCTAATCTTACATTTTTAGGTGATTTTTAGTGCAGACAAGGCAGGTTTTAACACTTGTTACTTATACACAGTGTTTTCAATATGTACATATTTTGCCATTTTGGTGGATCTTTGTATTTTCTTCTTTTGTGAATCACAAAAGAAAATATGGTGTTTGGGTTGTTGTTGCTGCTACTAGGATCATACTTCAGAAATCCAATAATCCCCATTATCACAATCACCTTATTATTATAATTATGAACTGCAGTGATGATTTCCAATAAAAGTTTAGCAAAATTCACCGATAATGCTGATTATAATTTTTTTAAATGCTTGCCATAACGACTTTGAATCCAGAATCAACTAAGTATGCATAGTTAATAAATGGCTATTTACAAAGCTATTCTCAGCCACATAAAAAGTCTGTAGCTTATAGCTTGAGCGGTATAATGCAGCTTCAGCTTGGATTAATATACAAAGCCTGTTCCAGTAACACAGAAAGGATATTTGTAAGCTAAGCAGCACTGGTGTCTTGTACTCAGTTCAATCTCTCCTCTACACAGCCTTACACAATCCTTAACAATGAACGCCTATCTTTTCCACAGTCAGCCTCTACCTTTAAGCTACAAATGGAGAGGGTGTGAGGAAAAGGAGGGTTTTGGGTGTCTGTGGTTTAAGCAGTTATCATCACCAGCTTCCAGATAATGAGATTTTGGATAGCTTTTTGTTAATATAAAAATGGATAGAACTGGCAGAGACATGATTCAAGAAAGGCAGTGGAATTACTTACAAGTCAGTGGTTTCATGCGTTGTACATTAGATTGTAACATTAACCCCACCCCCACTTAAAAATCATGAGGAAAGAAACTGGAATTTTTGTGTCAATCATCTTTCCAAATTTATTTCCAGATGTCTGTTCTCTATTTCATGTTTTAATTTAGATTAGTATTTAGGATAAGTCTTCTTTTGTTTGCTTAGCCAGTATGATTGCATAAATACAGGCAGTTGTAATTTTCCCCCTTCCCCCACATTTACACCAAAGGCATGGTGTCTCCCAGCTGCTAATTTGAAGACCTTTTTTTTAAACAAGGAAAGTCCTATTTGAATGGAATTACTTATAATTCTTTCTGAGCTGTTTTTAATTAATTAGTTAAAAATATTTATATGCCACCTTTTTCCTAAAAAGAATCCAAGGCTGGCTTACAATATTAAAAGGAACAATATTGAAAGCTAGAACAATAAATTATTGCAATGTTTAAAAATAATTAAGCAAACATCATTTTAAAAACCTGCAGATAAAAATAGTATTAAAAGCACATTAAAAGCAAAAGAAATACAACAACCCTTAAGGTGTTTTTAAAGAGTAGAAACCACTTTGATCATGCTCGTTGACTTCAAAATGGCCCTAGATATTTTATTTATTTATTTATTTATTTATTTCATTTATATCCCGCCTATCTGGTCGGGTCAGGACCACTCTGACCACTCTGATAAACATTTAAGCACACTGTATAAATATGGCAGGTTTCTCAGACCTTTCGTTTGAGGGTGGGGAAGTGTTGTCAACTTCTACAGCTTTAGTCATGCTCTTTGGGGATTATGGGAGTTGTAGTTTGATTCATATGGAGGATAATAGGTGTTGAACTGCTTATTTTATTTTCTCTACTTTTTAACCTTTTAGTGTGGACTTTTATAAGAATGGTGTTGGAAGGTGGTTCATAAATATAGCAAATAAGTACATATATTGTACCATTGGACAAAAAAAGAATTTTGGAATCATATAGTATTTTGTGGATCAGTAGATAGCTGAGGGTTTTTGAGTCTTTAATATGTGTACAGTTTTCATAACACCACCATTCTGTGACTCAACAGTTCTGATGGATGCCATCTCCCAATCTCATTGATAGCTGAGGGTTTTTGAGTCTTTAATATGTGTACAGTTTTCATAACACCACCATTCTGTGACTCAACAGTTCTGATGGATGCCATCTCCAAGGACAATCTCATTTATTTGCTATTTATGTGCTTAAAGCATTTGCTCATTGCCTTTCTGCCTATTTAGGTTCCCAAAGCAAATTGCAATAGACTAATATATTCAAGATCTGATTAAAAAGTTTCAAAACAAATAACAATCAGAATCAGATCTAAAATGATGAAAAACAGATCTTAAACATTTTTTTAAAAATATAAAATGTTCTCTAATAGCCAATTTAAAAAACCACACACTCACAATCCTGCATATCAAGGACCTTTGGGACACACATTTTTGTCCCCTGGAGGAAGCTCAAGAGAGATGGAGCCAAGCTTAATATCTTTTGGAAAGGAGTTTCACAAACGCTAATTGAATTCCAGCCTTATCGGACAGTTGTGTCTTGACATCTGATTGCTTCCCTTGCTTGTCTGTTACTATTAAATATTTGGGGCTGAATTCACACTAACCCAAAATATTCAGATTGAAATAGGTAAGCTTTACAAAAGAACAGGGTTTGAAAAAATGTCCTTTGCATGAAAAACAGATCTTAAACATTTTTTTAAAAATATAAAATGTTCTCTAATAGCCAATTTAAAAAACCACACACTCACAATCCTGCATATCAAGGACCTTTGGGACACACATTTTTGTCCCCTGGAGGAAGCTCAAGAGAGATGGAGCCAAGCTTAATATCTTTTGGAAAGGAGTTTCACAAACGCTAATTGAATTCCAGCCTTATCGGACAGTTGTGTCTTGACATCTGATTGCTTCCCTTGCTTGTCTGTTACTATTAAATATTTGGGGCTGAATTCACACTAACCCAAAATATTCAGATTGAAATAGGTAAGCTTTACAGGGTTTAAAAAAATGTCCTTTGTAGGGATACAAATTCAAGAAATCCACTGACCACGTTGCCTTGGGGATTCTGGAAGCTGTAGTCCTGAAAGTCATTTGTCCAAACCCTGGAAAAGAATGTAGGCCTTATGATGATGGTGGTGGTGAGTGAAGAGGCATAAATAGGTTGTTGTTTTTTCCATTTTTAACATTGAGTATTACCCCAAGGAAACCAATATTTTCAGCTCATCTGAAAAATAAGTTAAACACATGGAAGCCCTAAAGTTTAACAAAATAATTTAAAATGTCCAAGTACGCTGAAGAGTGGATATGGTGCCTTTTGCCTTTCAAGCATATGTTATCCCCTGTGGGACAAAAAACACCAGCAGGGATACAAATTCAAGAAATCCACTGACCACGTTGCCTTGGGGATTCTGGAAGCTGTAGTCCTGAAAGTCATTTGTCCAAACCCTGGAAAAGAATGTAGGCCTTATGATGATGGTGGTGGTGAGTGAAGAGGCATAAATAGGTTGTTGTTTTTTCCATTTTTAACATTGAGTATTACCCCAAGGAAACCAATATTTTCAGCTCATCTGAAAAATAAGTTAAACACATGGAAGCCCTAAAGTTTAACAAAATAATTTAAAATGTCCAAGTACGCTGAAGATTAAAGAGTGGATATGGTGCCTTTCAAGCATATGTTATCCCCTGTGCACTGGCCATGTGACCACGGAAGATTGTCTTCGGACAAACGCTGGCTCTATGGCTTGGAAACGGGGATGAGCACCGCCTCCTAGAGTCGAATACAACTGGACAAAAATTGTCAAGGAGAACCTTTACCTTTACCTTTATGGTGCCCTTCAAGCATATGTTATCTCCTGTCGGACAAAAAACACCAGCTACAAAGGTCTTACAGTACAGTCATGATGCCTGGGTTTGTCTCCCATGTAGGCCCTGGAGGTTTTGACTTCATCTGTGGAATATGGGCTGGATGACCTGAGAAAGGTAAGGATGATGTCTTTATGGCATCTGTTGATTCTGTACGGTATGTATCTGTAATATACAACTTTATGCATGTATAACACAAAATGGGTATTGAAAATTATTTTGATGTTCCTGTCTGTTGATACAAGGTTTTAGGATGCAGCTAGGCATATCTTTGGCTACTCTGAATTGGCTTGCTGTTAACTGAACCCAGACTCCATGATTTACCATCTCATCAGATCCCACCCAACCATACCTTCTATTGAGAGCTTTTTTTCTGTCACTGCAAAAACTGAACATTGCAAGTGTTGCTGCTGGCAGGCTAAATCTGTACCATCACAGTAACCTCTGTCCCATATCAAAATCTGACCTCTGTCCTTTCTTAAAGCAAGATAAATGTTCCATCCTACTATATTCTCCCCTCATGAGATCTGGGAAATAGTAAGCAAATTAAAGTTTTGTAACTGGGTGATGGGAAGATAAGTACTATGCATTGTTACTAATTGGCTTAAGCTGATTTGACTGAGTAGGAGTGTGCTGATGCAAAGTCAAGGTCTGTGTTTACAAGAAGCTTTTGCTGAAACTTGCAGAGGTTTCAGATTTCCAGATAATCCTTAGTGATTTGAAAACCGCCATTGATCTTAAGCAGGGCCTTCATGATACATCTAGTTTCCGCTCGTTAGTGTGTGCCACCCACTTACAGAAACTCAAGATACATCTGTCTTTGTTGCACGAATAATTAATTAGATTATTACTGTTAGCAAAAGTCTGTCTTTTCAAATATATGCTAGTTCCGAATGACTTAAGGGAATTGCCAAGCAAATATACAGAAGCCCAAAATATGATTGCATAACAATAGCTATTTACTTTGAAGAAGTGCAATCTAGTGGTGTCTTGTAAACTGCAGGTAACTCGGAGGAAGTGAAATATACTGGTGACTTCCAGGTTTGTATTGGTCATGAAAGACTTGAACCATTATGCAAGAAGGGAACCTTAGGAAGGGCAGAGTGGGCTGACACTAAACTCTGTTCCAATTATTCCAGGAACACCCACCCTGCTATGATAATTCCCTATTTCTGGATGGACTATGAGTCCCCAGTTAGTTTCCCTCTGCTTTGGAGTTCCTATAAAATAATTTATTTCTTTAAATCCTTAGCTACACACAATCATCTTTCTATCAAATTTATAGTCAGCTATAGTCTCCTTATGTTGATGCAGGTATGATTCTGTGTTTACACATAGTACATCCAGACTGGTATTTTTTACCTGTGCAAATCTTTATGGATTTTTGTGCAAAGATGGGATAAACTCTGAAGTGCATTGCATGACTGTGTACTTTCTTTATTCTGTGCTTAACACTCATTCCACCTTCAGCAGCAGCAGTATGGCATTACACTTGCAAAACAAATGGTGGACATTATAATATTGAAGTTAATGCACTTTCACTGAAATCAGTTGGCAATCTCCTTCCAGTTGCAATGGGAGACTGGCTGCAGAGCCTGATCATGGCACTTGTCAAGTATATACAGTAGCCAAGCAGGACCATGTTGATACATTTAAAAATCTTTGTCCTCAACAAGGAGTGCACACACACTCATTGGGATGGAAGTGGGAGTATGATACTGTGTGACTTGTAAATGAGTCAGAGTTATTACTCTTTTGTCAGGCCTTCTGATAGTCAAGAGATCTGGGCTGTTTTTAACTGATTTGTATTTATGTGACTGTAACATAAATGTATTGTGCTGGTTGTTATTGCTTTATTTTTGCATATTTTTACTATAGGGTAGAGGGGCTGGCTAGATAGCTCACTAGATGGAAGCACCAGAAGGTCAATTCTCCACAGTGGCTTGTAGGGGAAGAGCCAGCCTGTGCAGCCTTGGGCAAGGCACACAGTCTCAGAGCACCGTCAAAAGAAGAGAATTGTAAACTGCTTTTGAATACTGTACTCTAGACCTAGGACATTAAAGAAAGGGTTGCCAAAAGTTGGCTTTTGACAAAATAATAATAATAATAATAATAACCATAACTGCTGTTGCCACTACTATTACTGGGGAGAACTCTTGAGTGCGCTGGCTGTTGCTGTGACAGACAGGACCACTGTTTCTTGTGTGCCAAGAGATGCTGCCTCGTTCTCTGTGTTTCTTTCATTTTGTGGGTATGGCAGCGGGCTGGACAACTCCTTAACTTGCCCAATGCACGTTTGTGCCTTCCATGCTTGTGTTTCATGTGAGCACTGCCACCAGGACAGTCACAGACCTATTGGCAGAGGCAGAGTTCCCGCAAATGCTGAGAGTATAACTGCTATTTTGTAATTGCATGTTTTCCCCTCTTTTCCTGACCTTAGTATGTACTGAAGAAAATTGCCATTTCATCAGCAAGGCAGCCATTTGTCTCTCCAGATTCATTTATTTTATTCCTTTAAACAAAAAATATCCAAGTGCCAAATGGTTATGCACACTAGTACGATGCTGCTATTTCAGCAACAATGCAATGTAAAGAACGTTGACAGAGATGTCTGTCAGTTCATGACGCAGTTTGTCTTTTAAGAGAGATGGCTGCAAGGCATGATATCCTATCACAGTCTGTACTGTGGTTATCACCAGGTGTGAATATATAGAGAAAATATGTTATTTATTGAAAAGGAGGATGTGGACATCTAAAAATAGATATATAAAGGCTAAAGATAGCAGCTTAAACTGTTGGGCAGATTTCTAGTGCATGTGTGGTTCCCCTCTGCGTGTTTTAGTAATTCTGCTCACAGGAAAGACATGTTTTCCCAGATCTGAAACAACAGAGGATTGTCCAGAACTGAGTATTTTCTTGACTGCTTTCCCAGAAAGAACATACTTGTAAAAGCTCATAAAAGGATGAGAAAGCAAACTGAGAAAGAGAGGGAGAGAGGGGTTGATGAGTGAACCAGGGACATACTAGGATCTGAGGAATTGTGAGGAGGTGGGAGAGTAAACAAACAAACAAAAAACCCAAATGATAGTTGTCCAGGAATTGTGCATGTTTCCAGATGCCTTCAGAAGACTTAAAAGCATGGATTCCTTGGGAACCTAGTAACCCACCATCCCTCCTCTCGGTCAGGAATCTAAGAATAGGTCTTACATGATCATCAGGAATTTCCCATCTGCTGCAAATATCTGAAAATGTGGGAGTAGCGGGGAACTCCATGCTGATAGCTGCACATGTACAACAGAAAAAAGGAGCAGAAAAGGGATTAATGCCATTGTTTTAGCACTTCAGGGAATAAATACAAGTTTTGATTTTTGGGGAATTCTGAGAGGTTCAGTAGAAAAGGAAGGAATTTTAGAAAAACAAGTAGAAGAGATAAACATGACAGACTTGGTTTGGATTTTTTGCATAGTACATAAGATTGTGATGTAAATCTAAAAAAAGAAGTGTGAAAGGAGAGAAAGCCATTAGAAGTAATTTGTGGTGGAAAGCAAAACTAGAGTGAGCACATTATGAAAGACTGAAAGAAAACAGTGATTAATAAATATTAATGGATAACTATGTCACAAAAGGCACTGCTTTCCCTTGGCTTTCTTGATCTAGTGGACCCTCACCCAAGACTTAGGTCTTTTAAATGACCCTAGAGAGATTCTGCCAGCCAGTATTGAGAGACTGGGCTGCCTGAATCACTGATTTGATTAGGTATAAGTCAGCTTCCCATGTTCCTATATTTGCCTCCAGAATTAAACAAGCAAGGCTTTAGGCGGTTTGTTTAGTTTATATAAGGCAAAGGGATATCTGAGAATCTCCAAATGCTCTGGATGGACTCATGTCTTTTTAAAGGGAGGATAGTCCTCCATCTGAAGGGTTTCCAGAGGCTTCCATCTTTTGATGGTGTCTCTGCAGGATTGTCCAGTCACAGTTTGATTTAAAGATAAAGAACTATACAGAGGGAGATCCAAGAATTTGAGGTTGCCCATCCATAGTAAGTACTAGACAGGAAACTCAGCAAGCACACACTCATCTGGACACTGTATGATGTAATTCTATTTAAATTTTTATTATTATTTTGTATCTGTATATATAAGCATATGCAATTTTATGCAAATCAGGATTTTTTTTGGCCATCCTTTTTGGTTATGCACATCCCCTTTTTATTGTTTCTTATCAGCCACTTATTTCTTTCTCATTTCATACACATAAAGTGATTTCTGTACGTACATTCATATGCAAGCAAGACTTTATGCAAACTGATTGACAGGGCAATATGTTGCCATTGTTTAAAGATACTGATTAGGAATAGATTGATTACCCTTAACCTGTCCTAATTAGTAAAAATGGATAGTCTGTTGGCAGCAGCTGGGCCTGTCAAGCAGAGCATCACAGAATAATTTGGAAATGAATGTAGGGCAGGATAGGTGCCTGTTGCAGAAACTGAGAAGAAATACTTTAATTGCTTTGCAGGAGAAAAAAAACAAAACAGGAAACTGGACCCAGATCCAATTACAACCCAGTCTTTTATTTATTTATT